GTTTCAAAAGCCTAAAAATACTTATGTTTACATATAATAATCTAAAACTTATTCTAAATACAGGAGAGGAGGGATATAAGACAAACTGTATACGTGGCAGTGCTATTTACTTCCAAACTGTAGTACTATTCCAATATTGAAAACAACTTCAGCTTCTAATAATAGAGAGAAATGGTTAAATACATTTGGGGATACAATGTAGAGGAAGAATTTGTAACAACATAGATAAGCAATGTAAGAGTAATGGGCAAAGAAAAAAAAGAAAGAAGGGTATAAAAATCTATGCTTACAAGTGAAAAAAAAAATCCCTTATGGAAAGTAAGTCATACAGAGTGGAAAACACAAAGAAAACTTATCAAACTTTTATAGTTGTTGTCTTTGGCTGCTGACATTTTGAGTTATTTCTTTTCTTTCAATATGACTACATATTTCAAATTTTCTAAAAGGATTGTGTATGGTTTTTAATAATTGAAATAAAGTAAAATTAGGAAAGAACTTAATTCACAGGAGAGAAGGAAAACCAGAAATATATAGTTTAGTCAATGTGTTTTAAAAAAAAAACCCAGAAACCCAGAATTTTTTTAAAACACAGAAGAAAAAATCTTTCAAAATTCATTTCAGCACTTTGACACGCCAGGCCTCTGGCTGCGGCAAGCTCAACTTAATCTGATCACTAGATGTCGCTGTTACACTTCTTACCTTGAGCACGTCTGAAGATGCACAACCCGGCTTTTTAGGCAGAGGGACATAAAAACTTTACAAATTTCTATTTCATCTCATGAAGGGTGGTAGACTTTATATCTTTCAGCTTCATTCAAAACCTCCTTTTACAACAACTAGGGCGTCGAATACTTTTCTAAAATGACATACAATGACTATAGTTTTATGATTCTGAATAGTACAAAGTTCTGCTCCTGGTTGCTTGAGAAAATTGCCACCCATATAAACATCACAGAGCTCACCACATTCATCAGAAATATACTTCCAGGCTTGAAAGTAATGAATTGGGAAGTGTTAAAGGAAATCAGAGACACAAGATTGTCAATAGGCATTGAAGTTAATGGCGCAAAAAAAAAAAAAAGATGCCTCTTGGATTCCTGATGCTCAGCCCCATCTCTGAAAGGAAATGGGGAGGTGAGGAGGGGTGGTGACAATTGTGACAGCCTGGTCAATCCTATCAGGCCATCTACAATGTGGAAGTAGCTAAACCCCAGCCTGCTGCTTTGTATAGGTTAGTCAATGCTTTTGTGCCAATGAATCCAATCCTTGAATGAATGGGAAAGAAGACTGTGTTTTTAAATGGGTCACCCTGTATTCAACAGATTTCCTGCCAAGCTGTTCACCTGTTATTTGAGCGGCTGCAGAGGAAGAAAGGTTGAGGAATGTGTGAGGCAGACAGGCTGTTTGAATTGCAATGGAGGATCCAGATCGTATCAATCAGCTAACATATATTCTCAAATTTTTATAATATTGATATTAAGAGGAGACTAAGACCAAATGAGTTCTCCCACAATGAGGTTTAGGTAGCAAAGCTGATAATGAACAGAGTACTTCAAAAATGCTCAGATAAACTATCAACACGGTCACTTTCTAATGCACAAATTTCAGATTACCCAGGTATCTCTGTTTTCTGTAACTGACTGATTTTTAAGACAATGACCTTCTCATAAAACGGAGCTGCAGCAGCTGTACAAACACAATTTACATTACGTGCATATTAAATGAGCCTCTTGTCAACTGCAAAGAATCACAGCACAAACCCAAGGATTTCTACTTACATGAAGATCCAAGTGCAACTCGCTTCTGTTTGGCTTCTCTCTTTCCTCGTGGAGCAGAAACGGACAGGCTGGCCCTGCTCTGTAGGCCAGGACCCAGGCACCTCCATCTCTGCTGAGAAGGTCTTTAGCTGCCGTCTGCTCATTAAAGCGGTCCCGGGGAAAGCCCTCAGAGGAGATGCCTAGACGAAAACCGACAAAAGCATCAGTGACACAGTGGCTACAAATACATCAAGCCAGCCAGATCTGGGGGCTCCTACATGGGCCACTTCATACCACCTCTTACTTCCCTTTCTAGGTTGTATTTTTAGAGTTTGTTTTCCTCCAAAAGTGCTTCTCTTGATTACTCTTTCTGCATCACACTGACAATGAATGAAAATATACGCCTTTATGTGCAATTAAAAAAAATAAGTCTATCAGCTGTATTCCATGCTCCCTACTCTTGTTTGCCAATCAGGCTCTACAGATCATTCTCTTTCCAAGCAGAATCAGAAGATGAGTTGCAGGACAGAGGATAGGAGTCCCGGGCTGTTGGTTTTACTACTGGAAGGTGTCACCTGAGCCAAGTTATCAGTGTGCGTTCTGCCAAGGCAGGAACTGCACCAAGTTCGTCTTCATTCCTGGGAATAGAATCGCCATGCAAGTGCAGCCGGCCCTTGGTCAGTGTGTTGAATGAGTGACACCGCATGAGTGAACGACCTGGAGCTCACACTTTCATCTGCAGATTGAGGGCACTAGGCTAGTTCTTACCTAAACTGTTAGGATGGTAATGGTCAAGGATGTGTCAGGCACTGTTCTTAGTCCTGTTCTTCGGTTTGAAAAATAACCCTATAGGCAGGTATCATTAGGGTTCCCATTTTAGATGGAGAAGCTGAAGTCCAGGAAAGTTAAATGAATCGCTCAAGATCAGAAGACCAGTAAATGGTAAAGCTGGGAACTGAATCCAGGCAGTTAGACACTAGAGGGCCTGCTCTTAATGATGAGACTCCGGGGCCCCCAGCTGGCATTCTTGAGATGGCAAAACGTATTCTACAAGAGGACTTCGTGCTCAAGTAAGTGTGAGAAAGGCCACATGCTGTATCCCCGGAGCCACCATTCATGTCAGTATATTAAAGATTTTGAGATGTCCTTTAGTTAAGAAACAGCTCTGTACATTAGTGTTTTCCAAACTTACTTGACCACAGAATCCACTTGAAGGGAAACCAGTTAAACACATCTCAGGCCACCAGTGTTCCCTTTGAATAGAGTCTGGAAACCACTAGATCCCCTCTTAAAGTCCCACTGAGCTCTCAAGTTCCTAGACCTCTTCTAATTCCTGGTAAGCAAGCTTAGCAAATATTAAGCAACCAGGCAGGCGTTAAGGGTTCAGGCTCAGTGTACTTTTGCAATGGAGATGACTGTTGGATATATGATAGTGTGTTCATTACACATAATCCTTGTAATAGCATCTCTTTGGCAGGGACCCAAAGCCAGGCAACGATTTCCAGCACGCTGAACACCTGACTTACAAGTAACTCGAGCTGAGAATAAGTCAGCTAACAAAAGGACTGTGGGACAAACATGCTTCTTCCTTATATTAGAGTAGTATTTGAGAAGAAAGCAAATTTGAAAACAGCCAAGGTTTTGCTTTGGGTTTGCCTGTTCGATTGGTTGGTTTCCAATCGTACTTTGAAGTTGAAAGCTGATGCAGGTTCCAGTGTCTCTACAGTTGCCCTCTGTCAGGCTGTCTGCAAAGCACTTTGCTGTGAGCATCGAGAAAATGAGGGTCCAGGGCCTGGGGCATCTACTCTGCAGACATATGGCTTCCAGGAGATGACAACCAGGCTCTTTCTTCACCGGAGCCTGATGTCTTAGAATGAGGGCCTTTTTAGGAACTTGCCTCGTTCTTTCCATATGCCCCCTTCTGCCTGCTCTCCCCAGACAGACCTTCTCCAAGGGTGTTGTTTAGGGCCTCATGTGCTGCAGGGTGCCCCAATTCCTGCTCAGAAGACAGAAAAATGGCCTAATGCTTACAAGAACCCTGGAGAGCAGGCACTCTGCTAAGCACCTCCACTGTATCATCCAGTGACTCCGAGAGGAATGTGGTGCTGGCCATGCTTTAAGAGGTGAAGGGATTCAAGCTCAGATTCCTTCTAACTTCCATTGATAAAGTTCATCCCCCTCCTAGAATATTCCTATAACTTCCATTTCCATGGCCCATCCCCCTCCTAGACTATTTCTGTTCACATATGGCAAGAAAAGAGGAAATAAGCCTTTTTAAATTTATGGTGTACTCTCACTGGGCTACCTCATCTTCAGAAATGTATTAATTACTAATCACATTCCTCATTTTAAATCCCTCTACTTTTCATTTTTATTCTGGAATAGCTGCTGGCTTTGGGCACAGTTTATATAGAGTCACAAAATAGCATCAAACATAGTATACACATCACAGACCCCACGATGTACAAGGTAGGTCATCAAAGGCACATTGTCTGGTGAGTACAAGTTCAGCATTTAGGTGTAAGAGAGTGGTTCATTCCTACAACAGCAAGGACCCAGTGTTAAAATACAGATGCACATGCAAATGCATTCCCACTCCTGCCGTGGCCGTCCACCACTGCATTCACGAGGTGTGGGGTGCAGTCCAGTTCATTCTCTGTGCAGAGGAAAGGCAACGTAAAGTTGGGGCAGAAACAATGAAGAAAACTTTACTTTGGAAATAGTTTTCATTTTAAGGAGCCAGGTTCTTTTTTTTTTTTTTAATGGAGGTACTGGGGATTGAACACAGGACCTCATGGATGCTAAGCATGCTCTACCACTGAGCTATACCCTCCTCCCCCTTGAGCCAGGTTCTAATGCCTCATTGTAACCAGACAATATCTCTATGATGCAAACATGCAAGGTAAAACCGTGACACATGATGATTTTGAGAAGGATCATTAGGGTAGGAGAGACCAAGGAGAGAAATAAGCAACAAAATTATTCTCAGATGTCTGACAAAGCAGGCAAGGATACAGGACAAATACACTATCAGAAAGGACATAAGCTTATAAAGTAAGTTTTTGAACGGAGAGTTTTAATAATACCAACTTAAATTTTTTGAACAGTCAAAAATAAAACACATCTATGTCTATTTAAATAGGTAGTGGCCATATGACTCTCTTCAACTGAATGGATTTAATTAAGGAGATAAAAATTACCTGAAATTAGGTAAGGATATTCTAACAGGACAGTCAAATATCATTTAATTTTCTGATGCAACTAGATTTTGAGGTGTTCGATTTTCACTGAACATTTTCGGGAAAAGCTTCAAATAGCCTTATCAACTTAATCATGTCTTTCCCTTTCACGTGCATATGTTCTAAGTTTCATTTTCACTCAATATGTATTAGTTGTTTTGTTTCTCGAAGACATTTCAACAGCTTGACAGACCACACGTACACACACGGGTTAATTCCGCAGCGGACCGCCTGTTAACACAGCAGACAGCACGGTCACAGGACAGGAAGGGTGACTTACCTCGGGACCGCTTTGAAAGACTGTGCTTTTCCCAACCATTCAAACGATGAGCTGCGCTTCCTGACGCTAACCTACAACATCAGACTGGGATTTTGCTGTCAATTATCAATACAAAGGAAGCAGACTGAGAGGAAAAGTAATGTACCATTTAAGGCTGAAGG